ACACACACACACACACACACACACACACATATATATATATATAAAGGGCTGAGCAGAGCACTTAAAGTAAGATCCTGCTTGACTTCATGTTTGTAATGCAGAAGGAGGAAAGCTGCTTTGTTTTTAATGGCTGGTTTTTGTTGACTGACAGTAAGATCACTTCATTTGTGACACTGACAGTAGTCACAGAACATTACATGCCTCTGTTCCCTTTCACTGGAAGCTGAGCAGATCAAACCACATATTGTATGTGATTCATGCATCACACCTAACACATTCAATCTTGAGATCATCCACGCTACCCAGCCTGTTGGTATAGTGCCACCGAAGGGAACTACTAGTGTTTTACTGATAGTTATTATTAAATGTACAAAACCTGTTCTTATTCTTAAGGCATCAAATGCTACAGATCAATGTGAACACTTGCAGGATTCCTTGGAATCAATTTTAAATTGACCTGGTTAGCTGTTCATGTCTTAGCCCAAACCATGATCTTCACAACAACAGATGCTTCAAGGTGCTTTCTATTGTAAAACAAAGATCCTACAATAATACAGAGAAACCCCAACAATCAGGCGATCCCCTATGAGCAAGCACTTGACGACAGAAGGAAGGAAATACCCCTTAATAGTAAGAAACCTCTGTTACAACCAGGATCAGGGAGGGGAAGCGATCTCCTAAACCACCTTCTAAAAATGTCAAAGTAGTTGTTGGTGCCCAAACCCTAGGGAATACATTTGGAGCCTAAACTTACATCAGCAGTGAATGAAAGCAAATGCAGAACTCAAAGCCTCCATCAAACAGGACATAAACCTGTTTGCCTGAGTAACTTGTGACAACACCGACTACAACCACCTAATAAATCTTTTACTTTTTATTAAGGGATCAAGCAAAGAGTGCATCAAGGCACCAAAGTCAAAGGACACAATGCCAGATGTCTTTATCACTTTAAGAATAGTAAGCTTGGTTTCAAACCTCTGAATGAATGCACACTTTTGAACATGTGCCTATATATTGACGATAATGAGCACAGACAAGCCAGTTTTGTTTCCCTTGCTCTCTCTGTCAGACCCAAGATTGCCTTTTGTTAAGCAGTTTGCTGCCTGAGTTCTATGTGGCTGCATAATTGTGTTTGTGTGTGAGTGTGTGTTTTAGACAGACGACAGCGTGTCATGTGCGTCACTGAGGTGAATAGAGGTGGCAGTGTGCTGACAGCTGGAGACAGGTTCCAAGGCAGTGAGGTTACAATTGGTGTTAATAGATGCCTTCCTAAAGAGCAGCTCTCAGTACACATTAAAACACACCCTGCACCCCACCTCACACTCATTCAGCTTTTTCTGGGCTCGTCTTCGGCTGTGTTTAGTGTGTGTTTATGTGTCAACCGCAAACTGATTGAACTGTGCTTGCCAGCATTGGTTGTGGCTGCATAACAACAGGCAGTTATTTGCAGTATGCTGCAGAATGTGCAGCATATGTGTTTAGTTCCAAAAGCTGAGAGAATCGGAGAAGACAGTGGTGTGTTTTTTTTTTCTCTTTTTGAAAGGAAACCAGAGTAAGGTTTTGAGGCGACGTCGACTATGAGCTGGTTAAAATGATAATTTTGAAATGCTGCTTCCCACATGCACCCATACCAGCACGTTTCTCCAAATACTTCTGTCTTCATTAAAATGGGAATGGGACCATGGGGAAGACTGTCCGTTTCCAAAAAAACCACTGGAGTAAAAAAAAGGGACAAAGGCAAAAGTTGTCAGAGATAAGACTTCACTCCAGAACAACCAGAAGCCAAGCTTCTTTCAACAGCTTCTTACCAGTGTAAAGTCAGCAAAATGTTGTCTTTATTGCGTAGTTCCCTCATCTTTTTTTGTCATCCTGATTTACTTTGAGAAGATGATGAAATGCCTTTTGTGCTGCCACCATGTTGTTTGTATTTTCAGATTTACACACTTGTGGAAAAGATCAGTTTCAAGGGAATGTTACTGTTTTCTTTTGCATGCAGGTTGACATCACAGACAAAATTATGCATTTACCCATTACCAGCTTAGTGTGGGAATTGGAAACACTGGAAGGAGGAACGAATTTCATTTTGTTCCTTTGCCTTAGTTGCTTTTATAATACCATCATTTGTAAGCCTGTCTTTCTCTACTTTATTTTAAGTCTTAAATTTACAGCTGTGGAAGTAGCAACACACTTTGATTCAGACTGAAATATCTGTTTATTGGACTTTCATAAAAAATTTTCTATACCTATATTCCTCTCCAAAAACATTAAAACACTGATTATCCCCTGACATGTTTTACTTTTAACTCAAGTTTGTGTTCAGTTTTTATGGTTTATGGCCCAGTAGCCTTTATCCAAAGTCTCTTCAGCCACAGCTGTAAATTGTATTCAGTTCAATAAGGAGTGATCATTACAACGAATTGAATGTGATTAACTGATGTACAAAATTCAATTAAGCTATTTGGTAATTGGACTCCAATGGCCCATCACAGCACAATGGAATCACAGCAGTGATAAGAATTATGACAAGACCCCCTGGAGTCTAGACCCTGGAGTCTAGACACAGTGAGATTTAAAGTACATGGAGTGGAGGCTGATTGGCCTGAAAAGTGGTCAGAAAGACTATTGGACTAGACAAGTGATGTCACGGCAATTAGCTTGCTGGTGTGGGAAAGTGGAAGAGATGCAAAGCATAGATTAGCCACTAAACACTCAGGAAGCAGACAGTTGTGTGACTACAGATCTTCCTTATTGAATGTATGCATGAACTTTATTACTAATTGACAAGTCGTTGAATAAGATATTGACTAAACGGGACAAAACAGTGTGTCATCCTAATCACCAAAGAGCACTCATAGCTGTGGTCAATTTTGTTAAGATTGATTGGTTGTGTTTTCTAAACACAGGTGCAGTCAGGTCATTTTAATATCAACAGGAAAAAATGAGGCATGCTTTTGGCAGTAAATTGCATGTTGCAAATCTTAGCTAGCCAGTTTGCAGACTTTTGCGAGTGAATTGCAGAAATCTTTGACTTCCCACCTTTTTCACTGTGCTCTAAAAATACTGACAGCGCTTTTTTAAACACCAAAACAGAGATTGCGCTGGTATGACACTTTAGTAAATTCTGCATTGTCTTAAACATCAGCTAGCATGTTAGCATGCTGGGATTTGCTTTAACATCCATGGTTTCTTTCTAAAATTGAGGTTCTCATAATAATATGATAAAATATAAAACGATAATGTTTTGTATGCTGCAGGCTAACACTTGTGTATTGTTTATTACTGCTTCCTGCAGGTTCTGGTTAGACACAGCCAGCCAAACCCACTGCATAGACCTGTACAGCTGACACCCAGCAGCCTCTAGGAGTTGACAAATGGAAAAAGGCCTGAAGATAAATGAAGCACAATTACCCGAGGTAACAAATGTTCCTAATGATTTATGCCCAGCTCGGGTTGCTTTATTTTCGCCTGGGCACTATTCACCAGGAGGACAGCGCTGGCGCGAACCCTGGGGCTGCTCAGAGCTGATGCTCAGACAGCGAGTTGCAGACATTGACTAATGGGCTATGTGAGACCACCGCCATTGATATTTACCTCATTTCTCCTCACCCGAACACTGTCTCAACAATGTCAAGGCTAGCCATCATCCTCTGAGATTTTTCTTTCTTTTTCCAAGCTCGGGGATGGGTGATGCCATAGGCTTCCTCGGTCAGTCCCACCCTTTGGTGCTCCGGGGCAGAGGAGAGAGGAAAAAGGTGAGAGCGAGATGAAGAGGGGAAAAGGTCAGACTTTAAGCTTCAGGCATTGTGAAGAAACACAAACTTCTCTATGTTTTCACTTGTGTGCTTGATGTAGTATCACAGTTCATACATGGCTATGAGGGAGAAAAAGGTTGTTTTTTTTTTTTACACTAAAGCTGTGACGAAATAAGATCTACATTATTAGATCTACAGTAGGCTGACTTGAGGTCTTTGCAACAGTATCATAATGATCTGTTAAACCTATTTTTTCTTATTGCTTATATTTATGATACAGTTCATGCACAACAAAATAGAGAAAAAAATAGCAGTTTCAAATTTTCACCCTGCACCAACTTGCAATTTTAACTTCTCTTGCCTTTCTCTTTCTTTCACACTCGCTCTCCATTTGCTGACAATCAGGAAGTGACAGCTACCACACTAAGTGGTGCTCGCCTCACTTTTTACACACGAGTTAAGCCATTACCCTTCCGATACCTTGGCACAGGGCAAGTGAGCGTGAGATCTCAAATAGCAGTTGCGTGCAGGGAGGAAAACACATCCCCTGATTACAAATCTCCGGCCCAGGTGGTCTCGCTCAGACCCCTACACTAATTTTACCCGAACCATGACAAATAAGTCCCACAATCCATATTTACAGAGGAACAGCCAGCATCTCCTTTCTCTCGTTCAGCTGTGCTGAATAACAAATGGCCGGAGTGACATATTCATCAGGATCAGATTCACGGCGAAATGAAGCATTATATTTTTAAATAAGCTTTACACATTTGGGGAAGCTCCTCACAGGAGGTACTAATTTGTATGCTCAATGAAACTAATCACCTAATTGAAAAATGGTCCCAGTGAGACTTAAGTGTCAACAGAGGCGTGGCGAAATGATAGCCTATAACAGATTATTCGATTGAAGCCATTAACCAAAGCAGCTGTTAGTATGATAAATCACACAGAGAACCCAAACAATCTCAGCTCAGTGTTTCACTATTAATGAATATTACCCAGTCTTAACCTTTAGTGATTTATGTGTTGTTTGTTAATCACAAGTGCAAAGAAATGCTAATAATATACATTAAAATTCAAGCTTTTAAAGGGTATTGTGCAGTGCATTCTTAAAGGGATTGAATAAACATTAACTTTAGTACTATGAACACGCTAGGCCATTGCTGGGAAAATTGTTGAGCTTTTACAGCCTACAAACAAACTGAATCACATGTAGGTTTGGGTAGGTTGCTTGAAAAATGAGATTAAAACTTTTCACATTTTTAGTCAGCATTTAATCAAAGGTGCATTTAAACAACTTCCTATCCAAAACACAGAGGTACAACCCGTCCTGTGCAGTATGCAACTCTGGAAGAATGCATAACGTAGCTCAGAATTACCTAGTTTTACAGTTTTATTCATACAAAACTGCAAATGACAACAACAGCTGTCAAAAGGTGTTTTTTTTACAATAACACAGAGAAGACACCGGCAATCAGAAGTCCCCCCTATGATCAAACATTTGGTGACAGTGGGAAGGAAAAACTACCTTTTAACAGGAAATACTCTGGCACAGCCATCTGTCGTGACTGGTTTGGGTGGAGGGGAGGGACGGAAGACAAAAGACACCCTTTGGAAGAGATTGATAATAACTAATGATGAAATGCAGAACACGGGAAGTCCCCCGCAGCCTAGACCTATTGCAGCGCAACTAAGAGAGGATTCAGAGTCACCTGATCCAGCCCCAACTGTAAGCTTTATCAAAAAGGAAAGTTTTAAGGCTAATCTTAAAAGTAGATAGGGTGTCTGTGTCCTGAATCTAAACTGGGAGCTGTTTCCACAGAAGAGAGGCTTGAAAGCAAAATGCTCTGCCTCCCATTCTACTGTAAAATATTCTAGGAACCACAAGTGAACCAGCAGTCTGAGAACAAAGTGCTCTATTTAGTTCTCTTATCATGGAAGCTCCACCATTATTTCTTACTGTGTCAATTAAAAAAAGAAGAGAAAACTAGATTAAATGATGATGACGACGAGAGCATGATGATATACAGCATATTAAAGCATCACTCCATAAAGCCCTGTTAGGGGCCCAGTGATGTTGAAATGAACCTGAGGCTTTTCTCTTTGATATATGTCCTCACAAACTCACGCCCCTACACCCACAGACAGTCCCAAATGCTAACATGCATGTACAGACACATTCCAAAACACTACATACTGCACTTAAATACATACAGAATTCCTACTCCCACACAGATATGACAAATGCTGCACGATATGTTTCATTTGCTGGCCCTCGAGAGCAGCTGATGACTGGGGTTCTGATGGGAGGACATGGAAATGTGGGTCGTGCCTCACCTGCGCTTTCATCTGCAGGTCCTGTTCATCTTCAGAGATGCCTGTCACAAATCCCCGCTCTGCATGTCAGAGACACCCGTTTCCCTGTGCAGCCCTGACTCACAGACATAACCCAATAGCACACTCACTACCAGGGACCGAAACTCACATCTGGGCTGCAGAGACAAAGGTGGAACACTTGAGAGCTGTGGTAAATTCTGAGTAATGTGGCTCATTTCTCAGCAAACACATACTGTAAAGGTTTTTGGAGGAATGCAGATCTTGACACAAGTTTAGAAGCTGATGGTTTTTTATGCTGTCTGAAATATATCGGGTTGCACATCGCTGACCTATAAAAGACAACAGACATCATCTCGTCTTTCCTTTTGTTGCTACACAAGTTTTCACTGTTGTTTTAGGCTGTGGTACCAACGTCAAATCAAAACACTTGTTTGGATGCTCTAATTGATGGCAGGCATTGTTTCCAGCCAGCTCCTCTTCCCTTTCCCCAATCCACTCCCAATTCACTCAGAATTACTTCTCCTCCCCTGCAGCTACGATTCATTTTATGCCGTAGACATCAGCTGATCGAAGGCTTCACCTTTTGGTATTTTGGTTGCATCAAGATATTCTCACATGTTGCATTTTTTGTTTGTTTGTTCTTTTTTTTGGCATCCATGCTAGCAATAATACCAAGGTTTGTCTCATTCTGTTTTATGTAAAACACTGAGAACACTCTTGGGTGAAAAACATCCCTCGCCCTGAGGGAAACTCTCAGTTCCTGTGCAAATAAATAACAGCACATGCAGTCAAGACAAAACAGCAATTATCCTGGAGAGAGACTGTGTGTGTGTGTTAGTGAGAGAGAGAGAAAGGGAGAGAGTAATTCTGCCTTTACATGTCCCTCCTGGCTCAGTTTGTGTGGCACAGTTGGCTTTTTCTTTTCGTGATAAATGTGCATGGATTTACGTTGCACACTTGTCCCTGCAGTTTGCCTTGTTTGCATAAATACTGCTTAACACTTTGATGATCGTCAGGTCTTTATGGACTGATCCCTTAGCGAGAGAGTGCTATTATCCCCAAAGACAACAGGAGTTCATTTTGAGTTCTGTTGACACTAACGTCTGAAGCTGAAACCGTGGTTGTGTAGCTGCTTCGGGTTCTGTCCTACAAAGCGTCCCGGGGTACAGATGCAGGCATGTTTCTCTATGTATAAACTAAGTCTTAAGCCCAGCTGACAGCACAATTTGATTTTTTAAGATTCCTTGAATGAAAGCCTCTCCACCCTGTTTTAAGTAATAAGAGATTACAGGTAATCTCCTGGTAATGGCAGGCTGGCATTTCTCTGCAGCAGGCGCTTCTGAGGCACGGTGGGAGATGTTGTTTTTGACCCACTGACTGTTTAATCCTTTCTCAGCATGTTAATTAGTTTATCAGTCAGTGCAGAAAAAACCTTTACCAGCAAGGTGTGAGTGAAAGGGTTTGTGCTTCGTGTGTGCGTTTTTGTACACGTGAAGATGTGTGTGGGCATGTGCATTTATTAGCAGAAATATGCATATAATCACAAGTATGCACATCTATCTGCATCCCCTCATGGTCATGTCATTGCATAATGAAATGGTGAAATAACAATGATGTCAAAAGTACAAGCGAAAAAAATCATTCAAAAACAGCTGTGTGTCTTCACGAGCATGTGACCCACATGTATAAAGTGTATACTTTATGGAAGTTCTCTCTTTTATTTAAGGGTCTTGAATAAGGACTTGAGAAGGACACAGTCATTGCTGGCTTCAGAAAGAGTATGACGCACCATCATCTAAACAAGAAATTATCAGTTGCCGACTCCTAATAAGTTGCTACAGTTATATACTGTGCATTCCAGTGTTAGTCACGATTCATTTACTGTCTGCCTTCGGCTGCTGTTGTGCGTCCTTGGTACAAAAGCGTGTAATGGCAGCTCTCAGCTGACTCCCAGCTGACCACCATACAAGTTACCCATGAAAATTACATAAGCAGCAGCACATAAATACATCAGATCAATAAGATTGAAAAAAAGAAAAAAATCATCCTCCCTTATCTTCTGTTATTTTTTTTCTTTTTTAAAATTGGATTCCTGACAGCACCTAGCTACAGGTTGTGCTGTCGACTTATCCATATTTGCATACATTAAAAAAAAATTTCTATGGTTTGGAAATAATGTTACACAGAGTAATGTCTTTAAGGATGCAACAGGCTGCAATTCTCCCCGTGAGATGAAAAGATTGCTCATTTTTAAAAATAATTCCTTTATATACCCCAACTCTCCATCTGTCAGTAGAAAACAAATGTAAAAAAATTGTGTTGCTTGCATGGCCAAAGAAAGAAAGAAATCATTACATTTTGTCATGAATCACTTTCTTCAAAATAGCAAAATGGCTCATTAACCTTGGTGTGATGGTTAATGTTTGTTATAAATGAATTACATGCCTCAGACTATGAACTACTAATGAGTGTGGACCATATAAGAATGCGTACAATAGGAATATTATAAGAATTACATATTAATGAAAATACTTTATGCTGCATGAGAAAAAGCTGCTCTCATGACAAAATCATAAGACGTGGAAATCTAAAAAGCTGTACAAACTAAAACTACCTGAAACATATTTACTATTGGAAGGAATTGGGAAATTATTTCCTCCTTGATGGGGGAGGATGCTCTCTCCCACTACCCTTCAAGTTACGTTACATTTGAATCACAATTATTTTCACAATTATTATGTCTGTGTGTTAAGCTACACAGTAACTGTGTTCAGAGTGTCTCCTGTGAGCGTCATGTTAAACAACTACTCACCTGTTTTCTCACCCTACTGTGTAATTTGCACTTCCTGCAACAGGTGGGGGACATGTTTTCGAAATCCTATGCGGTGATTTCATATAAATGGCACTGAAATTGAAAATGGTTCGAAAGACTGCAATCACAAGCCGTCGTTTCTGTTTTGGTCTTTCAGAGGTTATGGATTATGATAGTGGGGAGGGCTATGGGGGCTTGCCAGTGAAAATGTGTGTTTGTAAAGTAAGCAGACTGTTTTCCACCTCATTTCCCTTTTGCCGTCTCTCAGCTATCTTTTCACCCCGAGCTCTGTGTGCCTTCGGTGGCAATCTTAGGGGAAATAAATAAAACTGTAACAGCTTGATTAAACCTGCTGTGCTCTCTAAAAGACATTTTGAAGTGCACCCCTGCCCCCCAACCCCATATACCAGTAATGTTTTTGTGGAGGCTGAAAGCTGGGCTTTCCTCTTGCTTCCTCTGTGGTCTTGCTGAATGTTTGTGACGTGTGCTGTTATACTTGAGCTGTTGTGTAAGCTCTTGCCAGTCTGGGCAGATGTGAAGGATGGATTTGCTTGCACTGCTGCCAAATCACTGTTGTCTTTTCAAGGTCTCTGACCCTGAGATAAATGACCGTCTGTAGCAAATGTAAGTCCTTTGAATTTGATTACAGTGCAGCATTACTACTTGCTCTATGCAAATAAACATATATGGAGAAGATGGAGAGCAACCCAAATGACCTCTACACGCAAGATAATATAATAATAATAATAATAATAATAATAATAATAATATTATATATATATATATATATATATATATATATATATATATATATATATATATATATATATATATATATATATATATATATATATATATATATATATATATATATGTATGTATGTATATGTATAAATTTTTTCGTAGCAGCTGAGTTTTGCATGTCAGTATAGTACGTATGATCCTAGATGAATGTCTTCTGTAAGATGATGATAAAGCTCTCACATTAAAATGTGGCATTGCTGCCGTGTTTATTTTGCATTAGCATTTCTTACGGGCCAGCCAAGAGCAGCAATGGGGGAAGTTTCCATTGCTATTGAGTAAATATTCAGGCGTCTTTGTGTGATTCACCTGAAAGGTCATAAAGCAGCATGTCCAGTCATTGCTCAGCCCCGTGTCGATTGGCTGGCTGCCTGCTCTTCATTGTTAGGTGCTTAAAGTGAGGCTAGGCTGTACTGATTTGCTGTTTGGAGAAGATTTAGACCTGTCACACACACACACGCACACAGTAGTTTTAAGGCAGTGGGGGTTATGGGATTATAAAGAGGAGAAGTGAAAATTCCTGTTTGGGAGATCTGCTGAGGCTTAAGTTTCCCCATCACACATGTCACGGTGGAAAAACTCCCAGGAGGAGGTGGGGATCGAAGCGTCAATCCCACAGTAGGCTCAGGGTAAACACGGAGGTATTCAGTGACCCCAATAGTGCTTTCTGGGTTTCTTTTACCATGTCTTGTGTTTCTTGCTTGTGTCGCCCTGAATTGTAACGTTGCCATGCAACTATATAGCCAGTGCTTGCTTCAACAACACACCTGAGGAGTTTTTCTTTCTTTCTTTTTTTTTTCACATTAAAAGCCTGCGGATCATATGCTTTGACATTCACGGCTGACTGCAGCTAAACTGCAAACACCAAGGCTATTGCAAATCTCTCTGAAAAACTGAATGTCTAAGAGGACTGCCTAAGGTCACTCTTAATTTATAATAGAAAAAATATACTATGAGTTGTTACAGACCTCCTAGGATGAGACATTCTTTCAATCTACAAATGATTATACACTTCTAAGCATATATGATTAAATAGTTCTAAGCATAAATGACAATCAACAATACAAAACCTAACATATACTATAGGATATAGATAATATCCACTAGTAGCAATAGGAAATACTATGTTGTGCAGGTGGCAAAAGCACAAAACACGTTGAGATCTATGTCAACCTGCAACCCACATCTCTACTATGTCAGTGAGATAAACACTGTAACGGTATCATACTAGAAGAAAAGCTTCCAGTTTTGTTTGGAGAGCACTGCAGCTACAAAGGAACATGCTTTACAAAGCGGGAACACTTGAGTGACTAAGCTAGATGTCATCGTCTGAGAGAGAGAGAGAGCAAGAGACTGTTGGGGCCTGTAACAACAGAGGGAACACCACTCAGCTCACCACCGACTGTCAGCCACACAGTCAACTGAAATGGGTGCATGTGTCAACACCTCCAAGAATCACTGTTCCTACTTTAGTGTGTGCGTGTGTGTGGAATGTGAAACGAGTGTCGTCACCTGAGCGCACAGCGCTATTTAGCAGTGACTGTGCCGAGGAGCTGAAGATCAGTCTGTTTTACAGAGGTGTACGTGTGCATGCATGTCACCTGCTGCAGTTCTTTTATGCGTGTGGAAGACGATGTTTGTTAGCGTTGCATGAATGTGCCCTTACTCATAAAGGGTGAATCTGTGATGTGTATGAATGAATGAACATCTGCTTTATTTCAACAGCTGGCATGACACATTAAAAAAGAGCAAATCAAACATTGTGCAGTGGAAACATATAGCATCTGACAGCGTGATACTCACATTACACGAATACGAAAGGCCTAGACACGCGGTTGGAGACCTCAGCAAGAAAAGCTTTAATAAATTTAGAAGAAAACATAATAAGTTAAATAATAATAGTAATGAATTAAAAAATTTAGATAAACATCACTAAATGAACAAATACATATGCAATACATACATTTAATGCCACCTTTGTCATGTATAACTCTGTTAATTATATGTGAGAGATCTATAAGATACGGTGGCCCTGAGAGATCAAACAGCCTGTAACTTAAATAGAGGGAAAGTTGCAAAAAGAGAAGAAGATCAGATAATGTGTGTTTTAATCACATGATTCATGCAATACTGTAGATACATGTTTGCTATTAGCTGTTTATTGTTAGCTTGTGACTTCCGCAGCTGTTTCATCACATTATTATCTGCCCTCAAAAACTTTCTGGTTTGTTTTGTAATTTGTGGGGTTTTTTGTTATTAATTCAACTTCTGTTGTTCCGTGACTAAAACGTCACAGATTATATCCTTGGGCAAGATACTAACCCCATGTTTGCCTACTGGTGGTGGTCAGAGGGCCCGGTGGCGCCAGTGTCCGGCAGCCTCGCCTCTGTCAGTGCGCCCCAGGGCAGCTGTGGCTACAACGTAGTTTGCTATTGCCAGTGTGTGAATGTGTGTGTGAATGGGTGAATGACTGAATGTAGTGTAAGGCGCTTTGGGGTCCTTAGGGACTGAGTAAAGCGCTATACAAATGCGGGTCATTTATAACTTCTATTTTGCAGTAAACAGAGGTCTAATGGCTAGTCCCATTAAACATACTTGTTGTCATTGTGGTCAAATAATGACCACAATATGATTTCTTTAAACTGATCTTCTTCCGGGGGTTGGGGTTAGAATAATTGGGTTAGAACAATCCCACAGGATACATATACAGTATCTACAGCAAGAAGGTCCTGAGTTCGACTCCACCATCAGAGTTTGCATGTAACCTTACCCCACTAACATGGGGTAAGATTGACCTGACCGTGGTGTACCCCGCATCTTTCCCTACGACAGCTGGGATACTTGCCCAGCCCCTCCCGTGGCCCTGATAAAGATAAGCAGAAGACAATGGATGTATGCATTTAAAAAAAATGACACAGGGACAAAAGTATTTATATTCAGGCACAAATATACACATGTACATATATATATGCCCCCACTTTGTACATTTTTGCTTACCAAGTTGCATGTCAACCAACAAGCTTTTGATAGCCATCAAAAAGCTTCTGGCAGAATTCTGGTGTTATCTATTCCAAAACCAGTTTTAAAGTGTGTTTGAGATCATTGCCCTGGCAGTACTCCAAGTCTCAACCATCTAGCCTGTTGAGTTGAGGTGGAAAATTTTGAGCTTGTCCTCCTTCATTTTTCCAACAAAACTCCAGCCAGCATCTCCTGAATTGTCTTGGTAATGAGTCAGATTGTAATGATTCAGAGATATTTATTTAAATAAGAGGGCTTACCTTAATGCTGTCAATTTTAAACCCCTTAAAAAATAAATCAGTGCTTCCTCAGCTTCTTTCTCTGAAAATGGACTTTGTGCCTCATGTGACCAGTCACAAATTTCTTGAAATGCTGGAGAATTTGTTTTAGGTGCTTAAAGCAAAAGGCCTGTGGGCTGCCCTTCATGTTCCCCCATGTTATTGCAGTTATTAGGTTCTCACACTTGCTTTCTCTCTGCCTCACTTTCTGCTCTATCCTTTTTAACTACTCTGTGTATCACTACGGAAACAGTGCTGTCATCAAGGGAGAAGACTCTGCTGGCATTCCCACACTACAATCTGGCAGCACAGACACGCTGTTAATTCTTCCAAGCACAGTGCCTGCAGTACAATCTATCGATGCTAATAGGGTCAGTGTTTTAACGAGGACAAAGTTAGTTTTACTGTAACAAAAATCAAACAAGCATATGTTTTGCCTTTTACTGATAAGGTCTGACTACTAGCAACAAGCAAAATGACATCGTGACACCAACTGACACTGCTGTTGGCCTCTTGACATGCTAGAAAAACATACAAGGAATTTAGTGCACCATACACCCCATTTACCACAACTGAAGCTTAAAAAAATCAACCACCAACATTTGATTCTGAAGTTAGTGGCAGTGAAGGTGATACTGAGATCAGTGTTTGGCATGCTGTGCCCCTGCAGGTCGGCCAGAGTTTAGCCAAGCGCCATGTGAGAGGTCAAACCCAGAATGGTCTGTACACACTGGTGCACACTGGGGTTTTCTTAGGTGAGGTGAGGGCATAGATGATCTCATTCAGACTGGTTTAGGGCCTTATATTGCTGGGACTGGTGTTAATGGGAGTCCTGACTCTGACAATGAGGTCATGGCACAGGGACTGCAGCTTTCCCCCTCAACTCTGTTAGGTTCTGAGGCTCCCTCACATCTGTGTGCTGTCTGACCCAGCATTCAGCTGCTCTCTCTCATTATACTCTCTAATGGATGGATCTACTTCTCTCTGACCTCATCCACCCTCAACAACAACATCCTTTCACCGCTCTGTCCTGCTGCCCCTCCAACCAAGAACAGACCCTCATTTTTGCTGCGTTTGTAGCAACTGAAAAGGTAAAACTCAGACACAGGGGTAGCAGCGCTTCAGACTACAGTGTAAATAGTATAGTAAAAGACATAATAGTTTCCCACAGCATAATCAACTAATTATCATTAGTTGATTACTAATGATAATAAGACTGTAAAATGTAGAAGTCTAGATAAGCAGTGGTGTTGGATTGAGGACATTTTAAGTGTGAAGAGTGCTTTTTATTAATCAATGTCTTCACGGTTGCGGCAGAGCAAAAATCAGGGTACACCCTGGACATCAAACAGAGTAATTTCAAAGTTGTGCCACCATCACCAGCTTGAGTTGGTGATGCAGTAAGAGCTCGTGCAGACTGTGGCGGAACATGGTATCTTAACATGAAAACCTGGGACCTTCTTACTGTGAGGTGATGGTGCAAACTGATGCATCATCATGGCACCCCACAAAGAATTACAAAAAATCCAAGCATGCAGGAGAGCAAGAGACAAAAGTTTTGCACAAGGCAGTTGGATCACTGCTGAACTGCCCAACAAGCTAACAAAATACACACCACA